AATTGAATTGAATTGAATTGAATTGAATTCAGTGTATGCAGAAGGTACAATATAAGCCAGTGAGGACATAACATATCATGTCCAACAACACAGAAAATGGATTTTGGGCACCATATCTTTTTTGTTTGCATTTGCAAGTGTTAGCATCTATTGTATCTAAATATATTATCTTTTATACTAGATATTAAATTTGTTATTACATTTAAAGGAACAGTTCACCCAAAAGTGAAAATGTTCATATCATCATATCATTCTATGATGCTCTGTGTTTGTTTGTAAGACTTGCTGAGGACGCTGTGGGTTACTTTAATTTAATGCGCCTCTGCGCCTCAAAATCTACCTAAATACGTGTATCACTCCAAACTCCTTTGTGAATGTCATGTCGTTATAGTCCTTAGCATTTTAACCGTATTTGTGTGCATACATTAAGTACTTTTTAACTGATCAGCGCCGTGCTTGTGAGATTAGTTTGCGCCGTTCGTAGCGCGATATTCGTTTGGTAGCGCTGTCGCGTGGCTCGGTCAATTGATCCGTGCCGAATACTCTGTAACATCGCGCTGTTTCATCCCACTTTCAGTGCATTTGGCTTCCCATATGTATGGCTAAACTCCGGTTCTCTCGCTCTGTCATGTTGCTTCTACCGGCTGTTTATAGAGTGGGGGAACTATAACGTCACTTTGTATGCGGATCGGCTGTTAGTATCGGGTGTGCCTCACACATCCTAAAAAGTGAAGCGGGCTCTTTGATCGCCCCCTGGTGGCTGGCTGCAGTACAGGTAATAAACCCCGCCTTCTCCATGTAAACGAATGGGACTTGAGTCAAAATAAAAAAACTAATTACACTTCCAATACAATTTCCGAAAGATGGTTTTGGTCATTTAAGGTAGTTGTTATCACGCTGATATATGTTCAATTGTTCATTTTTGTGATAAGTTTGATTTTAGCTAGTAATTTGATGCTGTAAAAACAGGGCGTGTCGTTATGGTTGATTGGGTCTGCGGGAGTTTTGGCGAGAGTTTGATTCCGCGGTTCCACCTCACTACACTACTGCGCAGACTCTGGCTCCAAATTAATCTCTACTGCGCAGACTCTGGCTCCTAACGAATCTCTACTGCGCAGACTCTGACTCCAAACAAATCTCTACTGCTCCAAATGACATAATTTACTCAAGATGGTAGCAGCCATACTGCGATGCTTTGGCTTCACTTTTCTATAGTGGAAGGAAGTGGAGACGCATCGTCCATCTTTTTTTTTACAGTCTATGGTTAGCATCGCACTGGTTCCCTCAACAAAAACCCAATAGAATTGTTCCATAGGCTTTTGGATTATCGCAGAAAATAAGCTCTGTGTTCAGTCATAGTTCATAAAACGTTTTGTCCATCAAGATAATCTTCACAAAATAATATAACTTTTATGAATTTTGATCCCTGAATAAAAGCGGCAGAAATTAAAAGCTAAACTTAGGCTATAAACAAGCTACACCACCACGGTCGCTCGCCTTCAGCGTCACCACCACCATGCTCCCGACAACTGTTTCAAACTTATTTTTAACACGTTCAGTGAAAAGGATTTACTCTGTATATGAATTTTAATCCACGCTACATGAACCTTTTCATATAAACTGGAATAAATACAAAACTAGAGCCAAACTAAAACTGAAATGAGACATTAGTAATAAATAGTATAGTGAATAAATTAAATAATCATAATTAAAAGACATATGAAAGCACGTATCTCTGTACATTTCGAAATAAGGTGCATTAAAAGTCAATAAATCCTTGATTAATATGAATATTCCTGAATAAAAGCGGCAGAAATTAAAAGCTAAACTTAGGCTATAAACAAGCTACACCACCACGGTCGCTCGCCTTCAGCGTCACCACCACCATGCTCCCGACAACTGTTTCAAACTTATTTTTAACACGTTCAGTGAAAAGGATTTACTCTGTATATGAATTTTAATCCACGCTACATGAACCTTTTCATATAAACTGGAATAAATACAAAACTAGAGCCAAACTAAAACTGAAATGAGACGTTAGTAATAAATAGTATAGTGAATAAATTAAATAATCATAATTAAAAGACATATGAAAGCACGTATCTCTGTACATTTCGAAATAAGGTGCATTAAAAGTCAATAAATCCTTGATTAATATGAATATTTTAATTAAAAACGTGTCTCCACGTACTATTCAATAAAATTCTAGTACATTTAATCTATTGAATAACAGCAGAGTGAGCGAGTTTTTGGTTATGGTAAGATTAAACTTATTTTAGTGAGTAAAGTACCACATTTCAGCTATCGTTTTATTAGGGTGGGTACACAAAATGTTATTTTATCCTTGCTTCTAGAAAATCCTCAATCTGTATGCTTCGTAACAGCTTCATGTGGCCGTAAACATTTAATTTTAACGTGGCTTTAAGCACTATGCATCGTTAAAGTTTAACTTTCACTGTGACTAAGCCAGTAAATGTGGTGTTTACATGGAATAATCATATGAGTTTACCTTACGGTGGGAACCCAGAGTCTCCGCATCAGTAGGAAATACTGAGCATTTCATGCTAAAAGAGCATTTTCCATCTGAAGACTTGTGTTGCATTTCGGGGCAAAGCAAAAAAACATTGTCGAATGAAATATAAAATGCGGGAATCTATTAATTGGTTATTCTACAATTAATTGTACTATAAATTATACACTACGATTGGAAAATACTGTAAATTGATAAACTGTTTGGCGTGATGACGTTTAATGTCTCAGACAGCGCCTGTAGTCCCATTTAGCAACTTGTTAGCAACCGTCTTTTTTAAAGAGGTCATATGATGCTTTTTTAAAGATCATTATTTGTGTATTTGGTGTAACCAAATACACATGGAGAATGGAGAATATGTTGACATGCTTTAATGTTCAAAAAACACATTATTTTTCAAATACTGTACATTATTGTAGGTCCTCTATGCCCCGCCTCTCTCAAACGCTTCGTTTTCTATAAAGTCCCCCCTTCTGACAAGCCAGTCTGCTCTGATTGGCCAGCTGACCCAGTGCATTGTGATTGGCCGAACACCGCAAGCACTCGTCGGAAATGTAACGCCCCTTACCATAATCGCGAGCTTCATCTTTCAAAATAAATGTAAAGATAGAGCCCGAAAGGGGAATAGAGTCGCGTGACAGACACAGCGATGAAGCCCCCTCTCTCTCTCTCTCTCTTGCGCTCTCTCTCGCTCTCGGTAACACTACAAAGAGAAAGGAAAACTTGAAATCGCATCATATGACCCCTTTAAGAAATGTAACAGTTTTAAAAAATCACGAGTGGGGGTAACTGGGGTGTTTTATGTCGTAGAATAAAACGTGAAAGTATCTTGAGCTTGTGTGAACCATGGACCTATTTTAGGGGATTTAACCAAACTTGCATTCAAAAACCCATTGACGATGGAACCGGAAGTGCTAAAATGCTAACTCCCTTCCGGGTTTTTGCCTACAAAGTGACATCATAGTTCCACCACTCTATTGCTGTAGATATGCAATGCAGAGAGACGTATATACGCAACACCCTCTTCTGGAGACGGGGCGGGAATATGCAGCTTATTTGCATTTAAAGCGATACTCTCCAAATCAGCTCTTTTTTAGACACACCCCAAAAATTACATTTTCCAGCTGATATAATAAATGATCTGTTGGGTATTTTTGGGCTGAAACTTCACAGGTACATTCTGGGGACACCCAAGACCAATATTACATCTTGTAAAAAGGGGGATATTAGGTGCCCTTTAATGCATATTGGATTAACAACGCCCCTCCCCCAAATCTCAGTTATGCAAATGAACATGGTTGACATTTATAAATGAATTTACTTTTTTAAACCATTACTTCAACTGCTATTTTTATCTAACCAGCCGCCGAACCACACACACATGATTGTAGGATATCATAGATAATGAAGGGTACATCTAGGTGGATTTCAAAAGTCAATCAGATAAAGGCATCTTAGTGGGTAGAATGTTACACAAACATTGGACTCGGGAATGGAAATTGTGGAGCATATGTGTAACTGTAACTGTGCATGTGTTTTAATAAACCCTCTGCTGGACTACTACTACTCAGCCCTGCAGCTGAAAAGATTTGTTGCTTCAGCTTGGTTGCTGAGGCAACTGTCTCCTATTGCCACAAAACTGCATAAAGAGGATATTGATCATCTATAATGATGTAAAAAAAAATTAAAATAAAAAAGCCATGATGATCAGAGAGTAAGGATTTCAAAAGCAGTAAGCCTGAAAACACAGCTGTATCTTGTTAAGTGCCATGCTATAGGAAAACGGCTGAAAAGATTGGCAAGAAATGTCTGGCTAGGTCTAGTGTTGTTGCTTTTTCATTGTCTGTTATTTATTGTGAATGTGAAGATGTAGTTTCATAATCTTTTTTATAATAATTCATGATCTTTCTGTGTTTTGTGTAAGGATTTGTTCACCTATGGTATAGCTACATGCATCTTTTGCTTAATTCAGACATTTTATCATAAAATATTTGAAAATATTCAAAATATGCAAAACGGGCCGAATCTGGTACCTTGTTGCAAAGCCTGCTGGTTTCTTTCTTTCTTTCTTTTCTCAATGACTTTACAGTTACATTTTACATTTCAAATGTATACTGGACTGTGTTTGGTCTTTCTATTTGCATACTTAATTTTATTTCCATGCATTGTCAACAATTTATTGTCCACTTGCACAGGAAAGTGAATGTTGTTGCCTCCAGTACTGAATGTGCTTTCACTGTGTGTGCTTTGTGTACCTAATTAGATAACACTTAACACTTACACTTAATGTAAAAGTTCACCGTTTACATTGTGTTAGCATCTACTGTACCTTACTGTACTTTATTTAGGTTTTGCAGGTGTGTAATATAGTATTTTGGACATATTATTGTACATCTGTCATGCTAGCGTTGCCCTTTGACCCATTTGACCTAATAACAAGCCATTAATGATTAGGAAAAGCATTTATTCAGGTGTTGGTAAACTATTTAACCAAAAAGACCATTTAAAAAGATCCGCTCAAGCCACAGTAACAACCCCCCACCCACCCACCCCTCAAATAAGTTGTTGATGATTGTCTCTTTTGTCAAAAAGTAGAATATTTAAGAATATTTAAAGAACATTTCATACACATAATTACTTGCTTAAAGATACTTTTTTATTTTCGTATTTTTAACGTGTTTTTTGTGCATTATGCAGCTATATAATTTAACATAAAAATGTGAAATTAAAATTGTTCACCTTTTATGACAGATTAAATATTTAGTTAATTTATTTATTTAGTGACATCTCAAGAAAATGTAATTTGAAATGTGCTCAGCAATCACAGCTAAATGTCAAAGATCATAATTTTGGATGTTTTCTGAAAGCTTAAACTGAAATAGTAAAATATTGCATTATACTTTTGAAGAATTGTCATGCAGCTCTTTTCTATGCAGCATCAGTTTAAGTATAACCATAGTCAAGCTCCAGAAAAGGAAGGAAATAAAATGCATATGTGACCCTGGACCACAAAACCAGTCATAAGGGTACATTTTTTGAAATTGAGAATTATATATCATCTAAAAGCTGCATAAATAAGCTTCCCATTGATGTATGGTTTGTTATGATATTTGGTCAAGATAAATAAAATCTGAATTGAAAATCTGGAATCTGAGGGTGCAAAAAAATCTAAATATTGAGAAAATCGCCTTTAAAGTTGTCTAAATGAAGTTCTTAGCAATGCATATTACTAATCAAAAGTTAAGTTTTTATATATTTACGGTAGGAAATTTACAAAATATCTTCATGCAACATGATCTTTACTTAATATCCTTTTTAGCATTAAAGAAAATCTATAATTTTGACCCATACAATGTATTGTTGGCTATTGCTACAAATATACCTGTGCTACTTAAGACGGGTTTGGTGGTCCAGGGTCACATATTTAAGTTGATATTTACTGTAAACTCATAGCATCTCTCCAATGTATTTCTTCATTCAACATACATAAAATAATTTGACTACAACCTTTACAAGAAAAAATGCTGTTTGGTCATATCTAGCAGATGTGAATGACACTTCACTGCAAGCTTTTCAGTAAATAATGACTTTAATTTTAGTTAGTTTAATCACACACAATATCACTCATAAATAGGGTGGCCATATGTGCCATTCATACGGGACACGCCCTGGCCAGGATTTTTATATTGCCTAAAACATCCAAAGTAGTTTGACCAATAACATGCAGGTATTGTATATAATCGACCAATCGTGGCGCGTGAGAAGGTGAGATCTACAAAGAACGATCAAAGCGATGCAAATACGCACACGTGTTTGTTCGTTCATTCGTTCGATTTGAAGCGTCGCTGCGCACCGATCATTAAATGACACCAAAGTACCGCGAGAGCGATTCGAAATCATAAGGAGCCATCTGCTCTGCTCTCTATAGCTCTCGTGAATGTCATACAACGATCGATCTACACAGTGCAAACAGCCAAAACCTGGATATTTTAGGCAATATAGAAATCCTGGCAAGGGTGCGTCCAGTAAAAATGGCCCGTATGATCACCCTACTCAAAAATCTGTCAAATCTGTCTTCCACTTCTCTAGACGGGACTCCAAAAATCCTCTCTGCCTTCAGCGAGAAGGTGGTGAGCCCGAATGAGCCCATATCACTGGTGTGTCACGTGAAAGGAACCCCCCTCCCCACCATCACCTGGACGTTGGACGACGACCCTGTCATCAAAGACAGCAACCACCGCATGGATCGCATCATCACCACGGAAGGCCACGTGCTCAGCTACCTGAATGTGTCTCACACACAGGTCACCGATGGGGGCGTCTATCGCTGCACCTGCAACAACTCGGCCGGCTCGGTCTCCTACCAGGCTCGAATAAACGTAAGAGGTGCTTGTCAGATCAGCTCCTCAAAAACACCCACACCACACCACAAGCACACACAACAATTTCACGTTTGTCCGGAGATTGTCTGTATTCTATATGAAAATTGGAGTTAGAAGGAGAATTTTATTGTTTTAGGTTGTAGTTGCAGTGCAGCCTCCTAAAAGGTACGTTCTCATTGTCAACAGCTTGCCGCAAGAAAGCAACTTGAAGTGATTTATTTTCAATGAAATATGGCACTTTGAAAAAGCACGAGCAGTGACCATTGATGGCACAACAAAGAGCAGAGTTTAACTTCATGCAAATGAGAGTGTGGACACAACCGGCAGGAGTGAAGGCAGTAGAGCTCTTGTGATCCACCTCCTGATGGAGTTAGAGATTGCAGTCAAATAGGAATGCATAGTATAGAGCAAGAGTGTCCAATCCTGCTTCTGGAAGGCCGATGTCCTGCAGAGTTTAGCTCCAAACATGCCAGCGTACTTGCCTGGAAGTTTCTAGTGAGCCTAAAGACCTTGATAAGTTGGTTGTTAGGTTAGGCCAGAAAAAAATGACAAAAGATTTAGCTTTTGATGTGACCAATTCAACCAAATGACATATCATAATTTTCACTGAGTTGAAACGGTATCAAATGCTATTTGCACTTAATGCAAATAGCCTCTGCCTAATTTGGAAAAGAATAGGAATGAATGGTAAATACATGAATGAGAATGGTAATGGTTAGCTATTTGGAAGTATGATAGACTTCCTTGGTGTGAACACACCATTTAGTTGTTTATTGGAAGTAGGTGTTTGTACTCGATTTTGTCCAGTTCTACTGCCTTTCCTCCCATTGGTCGTTGTTACGTTTTGCTCATTTACATACAATTAAACTCTGCCTGCCCTTAGGGATACTCCTCCCATAAATCAGAATTCTCTAATCATTTACTCACCCTCATGTCATCCCAGATGCATACGACTCTCTTCAAATTACACAAACAGAGATTTAATAAAATAGTGAAATCCATCATTGAGTCTATATAATGCAAGCGCATAGGCCCCTTTAAAGTTGATGCTTCAAAAATCATTGTCCATACGACCCCAGTTAATTAATCAATTTCATATGAAGAGAAATGATTGGTGTGTCTGAGGAAAATACTATGGGGCATGAGTGGTTATGAACGAATTAATGAAACGCATTTGTCCGTGTTTCACTCCGTCTCGAATCGCGCTTGTGGAAAGCGCTTGAGAAACTTCACTGTCCGTGTTTCTACTGTAAATTATCGTGTTAAGTACTGTAAAATATTGATTTACAGTACATTTGTAAATGTACAGTCTTACTGGCAACCAAAATTGCCAGTAAGTTACTGTAAATTTACAGTAAATTTTTTACAGTGAGACTAGTTTTTTTTTTGTCTCGAGCAAGACTGTATAACTAACGCACCGCATTAAAAGAAATGATCATTCATGTTTTCATAACCGCGGGCCAAATTCAAAAACGAAACAAAAATTAAATCATCGTTTAGAGCAAGGGGGGGTCCCCTGGTGTTTCGGGGGCTCTACGCCGCTTGCGTATTTTGCGTATAGGGAGGATCGGCTCTGGCTGGGATCGTATGGATCACCATCATGTTTGTTTTACGTGGTTTTTGATATGGACTTAAGGAGAAGGATTATTTTTCTAAAATTCGCTGTTTGTGTTCATTTCAAAAACTACATATTTGGGACGGCATGATGGTGAGTAAATGATAAGTGAATTTTTATTTTTGGGAAGAGTACCCCTTAAAGTTAATCCCTCCACAAGACTTTGAAGTTAGGATAAATTGTTATTAGTTATTTAGTTAGTTACTTACAGTTCAGAATATATAGCTAATAGTTGAAAACGAAATTATTGACACGTAATACATAAGCCTTTCAGCTGACTTTCTGAGGCACTGTGTACTGATAGTTCTTTCTCACAACAGGTGCTGCCAGTATTCGACCAATGAAAAATGTCACTGCCATCGCTGGAAGGGACACGTACATTCACTGTCGCATCATTGGTTACCCGTACTACTCAATTAAGTGGTATAAGGATTCCAACCTGCTCCCATTTAACCATCGCCAACGTGCCTTTGAGAACAACGGCACACTGAAGCTGTCCAATGTGCAAAACTCGGACGAGGGGGAGTACACATGCTACGTGTTGGTGGATCCAGAGAAACAAATTCACAGGAGCGTCCATGTGACAGTGAAAGGTACTGCCATATAAATGGAAGTCAGCCATTACAAGAATGCTAGATTTTAATATCGGGACATATTCAATGGTGTTTTTTAGGGTTAGTATCACTATTGCTCAATCTTCCGATTTGCAATTCACAAACCCCTAACCCTACCATGGCAAACTTGTCTCACAACATCTGTGCTACATGAAAGATAACTCAAATCATACGTCTTGTTGAGGAAAGGTCCGACCTTATTAAAGAAGACCAGAATATCAAAGAAACTTGTTGAGAGTAGGCTTTTTGGACTTATGGTGCTGTCACAATAATTTCAGTGAAATTTTGTGGGCCAAAAAAGGCCCATTGCTAGTAGTTTAGCAATATGACATTGCTCAAACCTTTCAAACCAAACAGCTTTCTGTTTCATTCATGTGACTTGATATGGAATCTCTTTGGGGAACTCTTTAACCCTCAAGTGAAATTCCCAATCTCACAAATTCCTATATTAAAATGACTCCATTTCAACCTTTAGGCCAGTAAGCAACCATTTAACAACCAAAAATCACCATTGCAACCATATATTAATGCAATAATAACCTTTTAGAAGACCTTATCAACTACATAGCAACATCTACTATACCGTAGTATTATGGAAGAAAATTTTACATGGAAATGCACACAATTTTCTTAAGAAAATGTAAAAATATAATGTAAAATATAAATATAATTACCTAAAATGACTATGAATCAGTCCAAATGAACAATGAATGAATGTTAAAAATGTATTAGATTTTTCTTTGGAAACATTAAGTAGTCTTTTTATATCCTACTGTTTTGAAATCTAAAAGTGATAGAATGCAACATCATTCCATAACCCATCACTAGAGACATCAGAGCTTTCATCAAATCCTGATTTCCGTAATTAGGGAGTGGATGCATGTCCATGTAATGTCAGTCTCATCCTAGAGAGCATTTGATCGGTCAAAATTGCATATAGTGTTGGGGGTAACGCATCACAAGTAACGCAAGTTACGTAATCAGATTACTTTTTTTCAAGTAACTAGTAAAGTAACGCATTACTTTTTAATTTAGAAGGAAATATCTGAGTTACTTTTTCAAATAAGTAACGCTAGTTACTTTGTTTCCCATGTCTTGACTGACAGCTCTCGTGTTGCCATGTTGAGAAAAATGGGGAGTACTGTAAGTGCAGAGGCGTTGTGTGCGCTGTGATGTTACTGTAGTTCTACTTTCCCCAACACTGTGTATATATATATATATATATATATATATAAATTATTATTATTTTTTTTTTTTTTGCATATATATTAAAATTATATTTTATGTAATTGCATATATATATATATATTTTTTATTTTTTTTCTTTCATTTTGCTGTGAGAGGAAAATAACAAATATTCCATGTAATTAATATGATGAATATCAACTGCATGTGCAAAGTATTTCATGTCACTTACCAATTACCCAATTACAAGTTCTACAAAGATGCTAATGGTTTTTACAGAATCTCATAGTTACGGTAATTCCAACATGACAAGCTTTACCTCAAAGCACAGTTAGAGCACCAATTACACAAATACAGACATTTATATTGTTAAAGTTAAAATAGATACTAGTTATACTGCAAATATTTGATACCGTTGTTATGCAATAACCAAGAAAACATCTGTTTTTGTGAGTTCAAATTCATGAGGACAGAAAAAAAAACCTGATGTGATTGAGTTAGCTAATTTGCTCCATTCATGCTTAAAATTCTGAAGCACGCAAAGGGATTCCCTTGAGTCCATTATCCCCATTTTGTTGTGAATTAAATAAGCACTGAAGTGCTGCTTTATTTCAATGTTATTTTAACTCATTGATTCTCAAACGCGACAAGCTGACTAGCACCATGCTTGCGAAGTACCCAGGGAACGCATTATGCCGAATTTACTGGGAGACAAAAGAGCTTCTTTATTTTCTCTTTCTTTGCTCTGTTTCTCTCTCATTAGTTCACATTATGCCTCCTCCTCTGTGAAATCTCTAGATTCTGAGCTGTAATGACTTGATATGAAGGCCGACTGGAGCCTCATTATTGCAAATCACAGATAATTGTACATGTGTGATCACATATGTTCTGTCCACCAGCCCATATTGAGTGCGTTCTGAGCTGTTTGTCACAACTGCTTAGAACACACCAACCGCTCATTTTACATGTAGCATTACTTCATAAAGTCTTGCTCTGTATTTGATATAAGGAGACTAGGGACATAAATGTACTGTCATAGCCAAACTCTAAATCAAACTTTTGCTGTGCAATAATATGTTAACATTTTAAGTTATAATTGCATTGTTTGCTTTGTTTGTGATTTTATCTGGTGGTGCATCTCTCTTACTGCTCCATCTCTCTCAGTGCCCCCTCTGATCCAACACTCCGACTCTCAGAGCGCTTCCATCGGTCAGCGTGTCTTCATCCCCTGCGTGGTCATATCCGGCGACCTGCCGATGTCTATAACCTGGCACAAAGATGGACGACCAATCAATGCCAGCCTGGGTGTCACCATAGACAACATAGACTTCACCAGCTCATTACGCATTTCAAACCTGTCGGAAATTCATAACGGCAGTTACACCTGTATTGCCCGTAATGAGGCTGCTGCCGTCGAGCATAGCATACAGCTCATCGTTAAAGGTTTGAGAGAAATTTAGCTACTTTTATTATAATGTTATCATTTTAATTTGTGCCATATGTGACCCTGGAGCACAAAACCTGTCATAAGGGTGAATTTTTCAAAACTGAGATTTATACATCATCTGAAAGCTGAATAAATAAGCTTTCCATTGATGCATGGTTTGTTAGGACAGGGCAATATTTGGTCGCGATACAACTATTTGAAAATCTGGAATCTGAGGGTGCAAAAAAATCAAAATATTGAGAAAATCGCCTTTAAAGTTGTCCAAATGAAATTCTTAGCAATGCATATTACTAATCAAAAATTAAGTTTTAATATATTTACAGTAGGAAATTAAAAAAATATCTTCATGGAACATACTCTTTACTTAATATCCTAATGATTTTTGGCATAAAAGAAAAATCTATCATTTTGACCCATACAATATATTTTTGGCTATTGCTACAAATATACCCCAGCGACCTAAGACTGCTTTTGTGCTCCAGGGTCACATATAATTCATATAATTTTCTATTATGTTTTGCAAAAAAAAGAAAAGAAAAAGAGGAAAATCTTTTTCAGTTTTTGTTATTTAAACTGTCTCTAAACCTATATACAATCACATTGATTTTTAACGGTGCTTTTATATTGTATGTGTTTTTAAAAATAACATTATTTTTATGCTCAGTTCCGCCACATTTTGAGGTACAGCCAAGAGACCAGGATGGCATATATGGGAAATCAGTGATCCTGAATTGTTCGGCAAAGGGAAACCCAATCCCCACTATAGTATGGAACCACTCAAAAGGTATGCTAGTATTTGCAAATATGTAATTGTATATTATTTCTTGTTGTACATTACCAGTGTCTATGGGCAAAAATACAAAAGAGTGCAATCAATATGAAATATTCTTGCAATTAAGAATTTCTGTAAAGAAACTGGTGAATCTCACAATAAGATTTCCAGGTTACATTTTTTCCTCAAAATCCAGAGAAAAAATAAGCCTTTGTGCATTGGAATAAGCAGATTTTTCCTCTCAAATATATTTAGTTTATTAACTCCAACTATTTCCAGCTGTTATTATTATTGTTATTATTCATGCACTGTGTATGAACAGAACAGTTGCATATGAACAAATAGAAATAGAACAGATACTATTTGAGTGATAAACAGTACAGCTGTTCTAAAGCTGCAATTATACTATTGGCAAGGTTTTGTTTAAGTTCCAGTTAACCTAAGGTAGGACCATATAATGAAGGGGACCCAACGCAGACACATTTGGTGTGGACATAACTGTAGTCAGGTTTAGGGGGGATCTGGACAGGTGGGCTGTGCACAGGTGTGTGTTTGCATCGAGGCCATGGTCAAAGAAGCTGGATTACTGGATTAGAGCAGGAGCAGGTGACTCGCTCGACCTTGATTCCTCCTGAAGGGGACTGAGCGTTTGAAGCCCTCACTACACATTGTAAATTAAAGCTCACAAATAGAAATCCATATACACAACAAAAAACCGGGCTGCACATTGGGAGGGTGTCATTAAACAGGGCTTGGATGAAAGAAAAGAGGGTCAGTATTCCAACATCTATTTTTGTTCTGTACAGGATCCACCTTATTTTTAACATAAGAGCAGGTCCATTTCTAAATGTGCAAGGCTTTTGGTGTCATCCGCTTTCGGTTATTTTGAGCTTTACAAAAAATGTGTGTGATATTGCAAACTGCTATTTCTTGCTATATTGTTTTAATGTATTTTCATACATTAATTATAAGCACACTGGTTACACTGTTTTACTACACCTATGTATAGTGGCTTATGAATCAGATGTCTCGCACGTTCACAGAAAATAGCTTATTTCCACATTGCAAACTAAGGCGGATATCCTGAAAGTCTGTACCTATTTTCAGTCAAGATTATTTTATTTTGTTGCCCAGAAAGTCTGTAGCTTTGTCAGATTAAGTTGCTCATGTGGTATTATGGTTTATTTCATATAACTGAATCCCGCAGTGTCATCTAATCCTAATCCAGACATGACACACCAGATACAAAACAATTCCCCTCAGAGATCTTCAAATCCAATAAAGAAATCATCAGATGTAAACACAACATAATTGATATTGATCATAAAAAAGGGTGTAATGTTATTGGATTATCAGATGTTTAAGATTACAGTAAAACATATCGCGGCCATGTTGCCTCAGGAAGCAGACATTTTTGTTTTGTTGTGCTAGAATGAAATACGTTTTAGTGTAGACTTTTTTAAATTAAAGGGGTCATATGATGCTGCTAAAAATAACATTATTTTGTGTATTTGGTGTAATGAAATGTGTTTATGCGGTTTATGGTAAAAAAAAAACACATTATTTTCCACATACTGTACATTATCAAAGAGAAAGGAAAAATGTAAATCGCATCATATGACCCTTTTAAATATTTGTTAAATAAATTAAATTAAATTAAACATTATATATTCATTATAAATTTCTACATATTAAAAATATAAATATACAACGTTTCTAAATATGCAGTGTGTATAGACCTTAGATTGTTTCCGATGATGAAAATTACAGGCCTCTCTCATCTTTTTAAGTGGGAGAACTTGCACAATTGGTGGCTGACTAAATACTTTTTTGCCCCACTGTAAATCGGACAATTCGGATTGGTTTGAATCTTTTACAAATTTACAAATAAACACAGGGTTTTTTTTTTTTTTTTAAATGTGAACCAAAGGAATGATGATGCAAAATGAATAAAAAATATTACCATTGCCATCAAAGCAAAAGCAGTACATACTGTACTAAATAAATAGATTTTTTATATATATTATTAATTTTCAACTTTTTATTTAAATTGATAGGCTTTTGAAAATTTTGAGATTTGGAATAGATTATTTATTTATTTGTTTGTCTATTTATTTATTTATTTTAAGAAACATGCAAAATAAAACCAAGTTGAACTTTTAGTTAACTCTTTTATAACAAGTTCTTCCTTGATTAGTAATTTGTAGGGACGCACCGATACCAATTTTTCCAGTACTCGCCCGATACCGATACTTTTATTTTTGGTACTTGCCGATACCGAGTATCGATACCAATATTTTTATTGCATTTGTAAATTTTTTAAATATTGGGTACAGAAACCAAAAGAGTATGTATAATCTTAGTTGGTTAACTTCATTTATCAAATAGATAGTCAAACCGATATTTATTCAGACACCTTCAACTTTTCTCACATTATCACAGTTTATTCGCTATAGTTTAGAAAATGGTAATAAAATATGACAAGAACTCAGAGTTAAGCTGAGTCAGAACAAATTCAGCTTTATAATGCTAGATAACTTTGAAAGAAAGGTATGTAATGGATTACAATAAACCAAAAATAATTCAGACAGCTGTTAGTATGACAGTATTTACACAACTATCAA